ATAACAGGCTAGTTAATGAACGTTTGTATAACACTGGCTAGTTAATGAACGTTTGTATAACACTGGCTAGTTAATGAACGTTTGTATAACAGGCTAGTTAATGAACGTTTGTATAACAGGCTAGTTAATGAACGTTTGTATAACACTGGCTAGTTAATGAACGTTTGTATAACACTGGCTAGTTAATGAACGTTTGTATAACAGGCTAGTTAATGAAAGTTGTATACATCGGGCTACTTAATAGATGTTCGAATAACGCGGGCCAGTTAATGAACGTTTATATAACACGGGATGGTTAATTAATGCTTGAATAACATAGGATAGTTAATGAACGTTTAACACGGTCTAGTTAATGAACATTGGTATGACAGCCTAGTTAATGAACATTGGTATTACATGGGCTAGTTAATGAAAGTTTGTATAACAGGCTAGTTAATGAACGTTTGTGTATTAGGCTAGTTAATGAACGTTTGTATAACAGGTTAGTTAATGAACGTTTGTGTATTAGGCTAGTTAATGAACGTTTGTATAACAGGTTAGTTAATGAACGTTTGTATAACACATGCTAGTTAATGAATGTTTGTATAACAGTCTAATTAATGAACGTTTGTATATCATAGGCTATTTAATGGCCGTTTATATAGCACAGGCAAGTCAATGAAGCCATGTATAACAGGTTCTCCAATAAACGTTTATATAACACGGTCAAGTTAATGAATTTTCGTATAACAGGCTATCTAATAAACTTTTCTATAACAGGTTAGTAAATGAACATTTGAATAACATGGACTAGTTATTGATTGTATAATGGGCTAGTTAATGAACGTGTGTATACCAATTAGAACACTCAATTATTCAGAAACCAGCAGGTAGTTGGTACAAACTGGGTAACGATTAGGAAATCACAGCTTGAATGAATTTTTAATGAAGTTGTTTTTTTAACTAGAACTACGGTCTAACTGAGAAGTTAAAAGTTATTTCATAGCGGAGTGATGGTTTCACATTAATAAAATGAACCCTCACTCCGCTATGAAAGAACTTACATTCCTATAATGTTAATATGCCTTGGGCATTTTTTTAAAAAAACATATTCATTTTTTAATGATCGACAGACATTCGGAATATAATACATTATTTCTACTGACTTTAGCACCGCAACAAATGAATACAAATATCCACGTATATGTACGTCGTTACTCATTAAACCAAAACTGTTTTTCATTTAAACTGTTTAGGTTAGTTATGAAATTTATGTTAGCTATGTGAAATCCGTTCTCTTCTATGGCTGTGAGACGTGGAGATTGAAAACAAACAAATAACAACAAACTTCAGACTTTCATTTACGGATGCCTCCGCCTCATATTGAATATCAGGTGGCCTGATTACCAATGCCGAACTGTGGAGAACAACTGGACAACAACTCTATTGGCAAAGAAATACAAAAACTAAAATTGACATGGATTGGACACACCTTGCGTAAATCAACTAGCAACATCACCAGACAGACACTAGATTAGCATCCCAAAGGCAAGAAGAAAGAAGGTTGGCCAAAACAAACAGAAAAGGTTAACTGTCAGTGAAGCAGAAGGAGCCGGAATGACGTGGACCAAACTTGGAGGAATCACCCAGAACCGAGTACGGTGGAGAGATGTGGTTGCGTCCCTATTCTTTGTCTGAGTTGGAGAATCTAACTGTCTCGGTAGGTAACAACAGGGGTGGCGGAAGGGGTGTATGAAGGGTGCAAACAGGGTGACACCAAAACGAAAAATATCAAATTTTAATTCGAACGTCTGTTTTTGTTTCCAGTTAACTTAATCACTTTTGGAAGTTGTATACATCATTAGTCACAGTGTAACACCTCCAGAGATGAGTGAGGGGGGGGGGGGGGTAACCTAAAATCACGTATTGTTTTACCAGATCATATATACCTAGTCGTGACGGGTAGGGGTGCACGCTGAGTAGCCCACAGGGTATCATCGACCCAGTGACGCCACTGGTGCCACATGATTAAACTGTACAGACTAGTGACGCTATATCGAACAGTCGAAACTGGCAATACCATGATATCAAACTGTGTGGGATGCTGATACCCTAGCAATCAGGGTTGGTGACGTTCAATCAGGACACCTTAATATACTGGTGACATATTACTAATCCGTCTATTTTAACATACAATGTAATGTATATGTTACCAATTGTAGTCTAGTTTTTTTTTTTTTTTTTTTTTTTTTTTTTTTTTTGTCTTTTTTTATACCAATTGTAGTCTAGTTTATCATACAATGTAACGTAGAGCATAACACCCTAACATAATGTCGGTATGGTGACACATTATCAGAATAGGCTGTTTCCAACTATAGTCCAGTTTAACATACAATGTAATTGTAACGTACAATATCTGCTAAAGATTATATTAACACACACTAGCCCTAGCCCTTATCAAAGTTAGGCAACCCAAAAATAAAATTAAAAAAAAAAAAACTGCCTACTCAGGGGAAACTACCCAGGCAAAGTCCCATAAACTAAACGATAATTGTCGATCGATTGTCTCCCCTATTAATTGTATCCCTTTAACAAGAAACCTACTGGAACATGTTAAAGCAAAAAAAAAAAAGTTGATCGGCAATCAATAACGAAAAAAAAAGAAAACAAAATATAGTTCAACTTGTGTTGTGATCACCGGTTCGGTTTATTGATCTGCCGGTGATTGAATCAGTGAAACGTAACGCGCCTTCAGTGTGTGTGTGACCTTACGCCCTAATGCCTGACGTTAAAATGAAAATAAAGCAGTAAAATTTTGTGAATGAACTGACGGTGTGACGGCTCATATGTCTTTTTATTTGTCCCACTGAAAGTTGTTTTGAAATAACATGAACGGTTCGTTTTATATGCAGCGGAACGTTTCGAAAATTTAAAAAAAAAAATATAATGAACACGAGTATGCAAAATAAATGGGACAGTTGAATACATTTTTTTAAAATATCGAAACAGGATTTAAATTTAGGCTATAGAAGTCAGATATACCTTTATCGAGAAATCAAGTAATTATATAAGAAAATGTGCAAGGTACAGTAATTTATTTTTAAAAAGGGCTATAATTTTAACACTAAATGGACTTAATAGATATCATATAGACAGGGCCGGCGCTATCTATAAGGCGAACTAGGCGGTCGCCAAGGGCGCTGGCCGTAGGGGGGCGCCAAAATAGGTTGGAAAAATGAATTGAAAGTTTGAAGGGGGGGGGGAGGGTACAAATCGAAAGTTTGACGGGGGGTGCAAATCGAAAGTTTGAGGGGGGGGGGTGCAAATCGAAAGTTTGACGGGGGGGTGCAAATCGAAAGTTTGAGGGGGGTGCAAATTGAAAGTTTGTCCCCGGGGGCACGAAAATAATTGCGGGGGGGGGGGGCGCTTTTAATAAGTTTTGTCTAGGGCGCTAAATAACCTGGCGCCGGCACTGCATATAGATCAAAGGGGGTTCATAGCTGGCAAATTCCCTAAGTTGTCATGCGTATAGATTTTAGAATTGTAAAAACACTGACCCAGCGCCTAGTGCTTTAAAATATGTTTTTATTTCTATGTGCAGGTGTAGATACCATCAGTAACCAAATATGCCAGGGCTGTAGTCTACGTCTGTCAGAAGTCTGCCAAAAAGATCAAGTTCTGTAAACCTATAAGGGTTGCAGGGTTTAGGGCACATTCCAGTCGGTTAATCGATCAACAACGGGCCGATCGATACTGCGCTTTGAAAAATTCAGGTCAGGTATTCTGCCCATTGAAGACCCGAGTCAATAACTTAACGTTGTCAAAAGTGGGTGTGTATGTAGGGAAAGGGGGGGGGGGGTGAGATTGACGGGGGACGGGGACGGGGGGGGGGGAGGGGTCAAGAATGGAATAGCGTCGTACGCTTCCAGTATAAAATTCAGGGGATAAACAAACCGACATATCTAAAATAACATTACGCTGGTGTTAAACTAAGCCTAAGTAATTTGATTCGTGTCTTTTTTTTTACATGTTAGGTGCTAGTTTTTGAAATAGATATCAGGTTATCTAATGTGGATAAGGAGTGTTAAATCATTATGATTGGGGAGGCGGGGGGGGGGGGGGGTCATTTAACCTTAAAAAATATTTATACCCCCAATAAAACGTAAACAATAGATCCACAATGTGTTGTTAAATGACGCGTCAGAGAATGTCAGGAATGTGTACGGTGTACATGGTGTGTAGTGGGCTAGTTCATACTTATTGTAGCCTACTGGTTACCTGTTACAATGTAACATATTTTTTTACTGTATGCATGGTTATGTTTACAAAACATGATTTTTAAAAATTTTAATTAAATACTAAGATAGGCATAAGTCATGTCCTGTGAATTGAAGATGATTTTATCTTAATAAACAAGTAATTAAAAAGTCTAGTGACAATTTTAGCGCAATTTCCTTATGTTATCTAAAAATAGCTCTGTCGTAGCGTAAATCAAGAGCAGGGTTAGTAAAACCATTGGTTAGTTACAAATGTATTTATTATACATTAGTATTAACTGAAAATGTATAGATATATGTTGATGACTAAATAAACAATGTCATTGACTTAATGTATTATGTGATTTTTTTTTAGTAAGGTTGAATGAGAAGACAGCAACAAAAGCAAAACAAAAGTGATAATTAAAATGGTTGAGAAGAGAAAACGTATAAAGCAGTTTTACCATTTAAACTGAATGAGTGTTTGTTACTAGAGCATAGCTTACTAAATTTATATTTTAATTGACATATTTGGTTTCGTATAGGCCGCCTATTTTAATTTGACATCATATACAAACATCCTTAAAAGGATTAAAAAGCCAATAATGAATGAAGATTTCTTTTAAAAAGGATATAAAGGACTATCATATAATCATTCACGATAAAAATTCTCAAATAACAAATAGGATGAATCCAAGAAGTACTCTTAGAAAATACCATCAAATAAATATTAAAAAGAAATAAGAGTGAGTAGTGTTCTCCTACCTGTAAATGTACTCATGTGTCCCATCATGCCCTGCGAGGGTGAGGACCTCATCACCTGTGCCTGACTGGGTGAGTGGCGTAAGGACATGACCTGCAAGCTCTGTCCAGGCACAGGTGATAACACACCTGTGTGCGCCTGGCCAGGTGTTGGGGAGTCTGTGTGTAGGGTTATCTTAGCCCCAAGACGCATCTGGTCAATAGTGAGCTCAGCCAGGGCGTACTTGGTCAGCAGGTTGTCGTAGTCCTTCTGCAGTTGCTGCACAAGTTCGGTCGCTTGCTTCCTTTTCTGCGCCTCTTGCGTTAGCCGATTTGAGAGATCAACAGGAGTTTCCTCCCCTGGTTCTCGTTTCACAACCTGGTTGTCTTCCCATGGTAGCGCTGGGGGTTGTTCCATATTGGTCAGCCTCGAGATCTCCGACACTGTCATGTGGGTTGGTTTTACAGGGCCTGATTTATTGGCTATGTTGCTCACACTTTTACTCTTCACCTTAAAGGAGTGGCTAGGCTCGGAGCTACTCATTGTTGGAAGCAGTCGCTTCTGGTGGGATTTCTCGACAGATTTTTTAGGAGTTTGCTCCCCTTCGAAAAAGCTCTCCTGTGACCTGGCCTTGGACATTCTTTGTGTGGCGAGCTCTTCCGCTTTTTTTTGCCGGGCCGACACAATTTCTGACGTGGTTGACATGTGGCTGGTTGTGGATGATGGGCGAGATCTGATGGGCGTGGATTCAGAGTACACAGATCTAGCATCTTCTTGTGAGTCATTGGGTCTGAATTTGGGTGTGTTTCCTCTGCTATGGTTCACCACTCCAGAGAAGCTGGAATTTTTGTTGTATGCCGGGTATACTTCTCCACCCGCTTTCCTACTAAAACTGCCACGTTTAGGAGGCTCATAACCAGGTTTCATAACATCCGCTGGTGAGGTCGGGAGTATCCTACTCGTAATGCTGAATATCTCTTCATCATCTCCTGTTGTCTTCTGGGAAAGTGTCGCCCCCTGACTACCTAAATTCTGAGACAGATTCTCACTGGCAAAGTCCTCAGCATCGTCTGGGAAACTATGACTGCTAACCGTCCGAGCTGAGCTTGCTCTTGAATACGGCTCAGCCCCGACTCCAGATTCACTTTGCTGAGAGTGTTGTGCGTCACGGAGACCACTCCGCCTCCCTGCAGGAGGTGAATCCTCCTCCTCTTCCTCCCTCCTGTACTCACTCGCCAGGTACGCTGCTATAAGGTCTTGCTGTTCCTTATTACCATCAGCGCCGTTGCTGTCTGCTCTTGAATCCACTTCATCATCAATAGAATCCCTGGATAAATCCACACCATCCACTAATATCCCCAGGTCATGCAACTGCTGGTAATACTCTTTGTCATACTCCACTGGGTTTTGGTTTATGTCATCAAACATCTACACACAAAAAATAAAATAAAGATTTTTATCATCAAATATCTACATAAAAAAAAATAAAGATTTTTATCATCAAAGATCTAGACAAAAAAACATAAAGATTTTTATGATCAAATATCTAGACAGAAAAATAAAGATTTTTATCATCAGATATCTAGACAAAAAACATTAAGATTTTCCTTCAGCAAGTACCTAGACAAAAACAGAAGTTTCTGTCATCAAAGATCTAGAAAAAAAACAAAGATTTTTATGATCAAATATCTAGACAGAAAAATAAAGATTTTTATCATCAGATATCTAGACAAAAAACATAAAGATTTTCCATCAGCAATTACCTAGACAAAAACAGAAGTTTCTGTCATCAAATATCTAGACAAAAAACAAAGATTTTTATGATCAAATATCTACACACAAAAAATAAAGATTTTTATCATCAAATATCTACATAAAAAAAATAAAGATTTTTATCATCAGATATCTAGACAAAAAACATAAAGATTTTCCATCAGCAATTACCCAGACAAAAACAGAAGTTTCTGTCATCAAAGATCTAGACAAAAAACAAAGATTATCGTCATAAGATATCTAAACAAAACTCATAGAGATTTTCTGTGATTAAATATATAGACATTTCCATCATAAAAATATCTAAAAAAAACAACACAAAAAGGTTTATTTGTTTAAAATAAAACTATAATAAAATAGCAAATGTTAGGATGGGTATCATTACATTTTTCCTCTTATATGGATAGCACCAGCTCATGCTATGCTGCTAAGCAAGATCAACTAGTAAAGGATAAGTAACTGATTGTATGTCACATTCAAGTTGGCAGCTGCATAGCACATCATAAATCCATATCCAACTAAGCCCACCCCAAACCTATAAAGTCACTTCACCCCCAAATGAATCCCTCTACTTAGACCAGAAATTTTGCCCACTACCCTTGAGGCTAACATTTATGACACCCAGGGGAAAAATAAAGGGGAGGGGGGGTGAGGCACTTAGGGAATTTGAGTTTTGTGGAGGTCGGCTTAGTGGTAATGTCCACTCATCCAACATATTAAAAAAATAACCAACAAAATATATAAATTTTTATTTAACAAAACACCTTTTGCTTAAAAGCTGTATACCTTCTACACGTTAAAAAATGTAGCCATAGTTCTTTGTCTGCATAATTAAATGTGTGTTTTTACATTGAAACATTTCTCTTAATTTTTATTACCATCAATAATTTGCTTTTTACATTCACATTAAACAGAACAATTTTTTCTAAAGAAAGTATGCATTTCAAAACTCTACCCATATTGTAGTTTTTTCTGATCTAGCGAAACCGACAAATAAATAAAACTAAAAATAACTATACAAACTTGTAGACATTAGCCTAATTTAGTATATTAAGATAATGAAATGTAAAACATAACCACCTTTTTGTTTTGTTTAGCATGGGGTTCATGCTGATAATCCTGGGGCTTTTCTAGGGTACTTCCTAGTGTGTCAAGCAGATCGGAAGAAATGTTCTTTCCTCGCTTGCTGCCTCTACTTCTATAGTTATCTTCCAGACCTTCAAAGCTCAGCTCATCTTTAGATGCCTAGAAAAAAAATTTAAAATTCTAAGTTACGAAACTTGCAATAAAACTATTACACTATTTTATTTACAATGAGATGCATGGTCAAGTGTCAGAATGTTCAGTTGATAATACAACAGCTTCATGTGTCAGAATAGACCCACACCCACTTCTTCAACAACCACATCTTGTGGAAAAACATACCAGGAAAGAAGTAAATGCATGATGGAAACATAAGAGTCTAGCAGCTGCCAAGTTGGATGTACTATAGCCAGTAAATAGGCCAACTGTTTTTAAAAGATTGTGTTGGTTTATGGATGAAATGGTCAGAGTTAGGGTTGAGTCTTGGGTTATTTTTAGTTCAGTCATAGAATTGCAACATTTAGTTGCTGGGGCTAAGTTGAAACGATAATTTATTATAATAAAATCAGAGACGCAAGGTTTCACCTCCAGCTCGCTGATGTTGATGCTTTCATCTCCTGATGGGATTATCTCTTCCTCAAAGCTGTTCTGTAGATGCTGCAGTGTCGAGGTGCCAGACTGCTTGTCTCCACTGAAGCCGGAGTCAGTCCAGTGATTGCGTGCCACGTTTTTAAAGATGGGGTGGTCATCTTGTAAAATTCCATCATCGTCCATCAACAGGTCACCTACAAAAACAAGATACATATTTACCGCTAAAAGACCCACAAATGTTAACTCAATGTTCTTCCAATATTAAATAATTGAAAAGCTTATTTTTATGTCAGTGTTTAAACAGGTTTTTAACATCTGAGTGTAACTTATGTTCCAATATATAATATTATAATGTTGTAATAATCAAAACCTAACGATAAGATATTTATAAGGAATAAGATATTTTACCACTCATAGAATCTCGCAGAATGCCATCATCATCCAGATCAAAATCATCACTCACACCAATGAAAGCCATTTTCTTGGGTTTTTTTTTTGTTCTACTCCACTATTTATTTATCATGGTAAATGCTAAAGAAAAATGTAATTTAAAATAAATTGCAAGCAAGTGAGGCAAACACAAATGTGAAGAAACAAAAAGACATAAATTTTTTCTCAGGTTAAAGTTATTTTTTCCCCTTTGTTTTTTGAAAATGTAATCTGTTTCCTAGATCTAGCAAGTGGATCTACTTACTTTGATCTAGATTCCAGATCTGTTTAGAATCTAGATCAAGAATATAGTTTTATGACAAATAAGATCAATGATCCAGTTTTGAGCTACTGAGTGTGCCATGCTATATTTTTATTATTTTATTTACATTCTTAATTTATCACTAGGCCTACTAATTAATTAGCCTACTAATACTACTATTTCAAATAGTATTTACAAGAAGTATTTAGTTACTTAGTTAGTATTATTAGTAGTAGGGCCTATTAACTATTGTGTAGTATTACTATCTAGACTATTTATTAGTTATAGCCTAGTAGCCTAATTATTAGGCCCTATTTATTTTCAATATTTAATAATTTAGAATTTAGATCTACCCGTTACTCCCTATTAAAATACTATTAACTATTACTAGTATTATTACTGTTAGGTCTAAATTCTAGATTTAGGGATTCCAGGCTGTTATCTAGATTTAGATCAAGATAGATCTAGATTCTAGATCAACCAGCAATACTGCGCCATCATGGCATTCTTCAGAGTTTACAATGGACACGAGCGAGAAAAGTCTCAAAGGTATTTGAGAGGTGTATAAATTCATTAAAAAATCATGCACAGCGTATTTACAATTAATATGGTTATAAAATCCTGCCTGTCTGGTTTTTTTCGGACTTTACTAAAGATTGGATGTATTTGATGTTTATAATATTTTCGGTAACTAAATAAAAATTAAAAAAAAAGCAAAAACAATTTGGTTTTCACGTGTAATGGCGACATAAACATGGCATCCTGCTATTGGATAGGCTGCCATAGATTTTATTGTACACATTGTAAGCTAAAAATAGAAAACTAGGTCATGGGGTTTTAAATTTGCATTGTAATTTAAAAACTTGATCTGCAAAGTTTTGTAAACAAATAGTTATCGATTACTAAGTTACTGTACAGCCAATCAATATTTGTCTTACGAAAGTGAAACATCCGGTTATAACTTAGGCTTGATGAAAATAAATAGAAATGTAGCCTTAAACTCAACAAATTATTTTCAAGTTCTCTGGATTTGCAACTTTTATAGCATTTATTCTAAAAATATAAAATTTCTAAATTAATTTTAGGCTTAAGTTTTTATTTTTTATTTTTTTTTACGGCCTAAATCTAAAAAGCACGTTTTTATTCCATGACAACAACGTTATGGAAGGAATCTCGTCAACTCGCTCGCCTCCATTATTGAAAAACTACTGACTCAGTGAACAGTGAGTGATTCTAGAATCTAGATCTAGATCTAGATTCTAGATCTAGAATTCTAGAGCAAACTGTTTATTTTAATATTTTAATATTTAATATTTAGGATTTTACATTTAGTTAGGCCTACTAACTACTACTACTAACTACTACTATTATTTTATTATTTAGATCTAAAAATCTAGATCTAGTCTAGATCTAGCTAATATTTCATATTAAAAATTGAAAAAACCATACATGTAGAATATCACTCTTTCTAATATGCTTTGAAACGAAAACTTAAAAAACACAGTAATTAGGCCCACTAGATCTAAATAAACACAGTCGATTTCCAAACATTCCACCAAGCTCAGCAAGAGCAGACATGTTGTTGACATTGACAGCAGCAATTAAAAACTACTATTCCTACTTTTACCGACAGCGAAACAACGTCGTCTGCTATTGTAGCCCTTATCAAGTAACAAGCAAGGTAAGTTAGGCCGCGAACAGTAGCGTACGCAGGGGGGGAGCAGGGGGAGCGGCCGCTCCCCCTCTGGCCATTTTCAGCAAAGTGGCGCCTTTTTGAAAACTTTTTAAACTCAAAGTTTTAAACAATGATATTTGTTAAAAATATTTTTTTGGTCGGCACATCTATGTAAATCACAAGATTTCTTTTCATGCAGCAATTAAGCATTATTGTACTAGTCTAAAAGTGTCTACGTTTACAACACGTATTAACAACTGCATCAGTTTGCCATTCTAAAAATAACCATTACGATGCATTGCAATGTTTAAAAAACCTATACGTGTAGTATCACTTGGCAAGAGGGGTGTTTAGTTTAAGGCAACTGTATAATGTATTTGCTTACGAATAATTGAATTAGAAATGTTATACATAAAACTTCACACATAATTACTTTATATACACAGTTTGAATCGTGTGATTAATTTTTTAAAAATTACAATACAGAAACAAACACAACTGATGTGGCACCTCTATTTAAATTTACTTATGAGCAAACTGCGTAGTGGTGGGGGAAATTGACAAGGTCAACAACGTCATCACGATGAAGTAGTAGAATTCTTACAGTGTGGGCGATAGTGATTAAGATTACAAATTATATGAAACAGTTACAACCCCCCTCCCCCATGGACCCCTTTGTAAAAAAAATATTTTCATAATACCACTGCTACTTATTTAAGTCTATTTCTGTAATATATATTTGTGTAATATATGTTTGTGTAATATATATGTATGCTTAGAACAGTCATCTAAAAACTGACGCTATGTTCACTCTGAGTTGGTTATCTCCCCCCCCCCCCACACACCTCACCACCACAATTGTGTAGAGCGACATTAATGTCACACCTAGGTATACACTGGGTTGGATAATTGACTTAAAGTGACCGGACAGTGGTGAATGAGGTTCAACCCACCTCCCCCCTCCCCCCCCCCCAACCCACCCCGAACAGATCTGTTAAATACATGTAGAAAAACGATGTACCAAAGTACCATGCAGCCAGAAAATTAGCTTTTTAAACGTAAAACTCTGTGAATATTGTTTTTGCAATTACCAGTAAAAAGGTGTGTGATCAATACAGTGATCTAACCTATACCTATCACTATATTAAAAAAATGATCTTTAAAGAACACAAAGAAGCAGTAGTTAATTTTAAAAAATATAATCTATACTAAAAGCTCGATGAATAGTTAAATGTTGGCTGTTATTTCGAACGTTTTTCTATTATATCGAAAAGCTTGGTTATATACCAACTCTGATTTTAAAAACTTTCATTATGCTGTGATACTTTAGCATTTTATGATAACGATATATTAAATTCTGATTATAGACAAAAACATTTTGTAAACACGAATAGTGTTAAACAATTTCATTATATTCTAAAGTAATTATTTTTTTGTTTTGACATTTATAATTAAATGTATAGATAGATACATATTTATATTAAGAGAGTGATTATTTCCCCTATTTCACTTGTCTTAAATAATTTCCCAGGAATTATTATGTAAGAAATTATTTTTACAAAAATTACAAAACAGATTGTGTTACGTTCATTGTTTTTGTTGTAGCGTGTGTATATTTTGTTTTGCTTAGATTGATACAATTGTTGTTTTGTCGGCCTACATTGTGTGTTTTTTCTTATTTCAATTTCTTTTACATCATAGCGAAGTAATGACATACATCTAGTAATTATATATATATATATATATATATATATATATATATATATATATATATATATATATATATATATATATATATATATATATATATTTATATATATATATATATTATACACGTATATAGAACGTGTTAAAAATTCGGCGCCTTTTTTTGTTCTTTTCGCTCCCCCTACAACGAAAACCTGGATACGCCTCTGGCCGCGAACAAGGTAGATTCTAGACTAGACTACATTTGTCTAATAAAATAACATGGAATATTATCAAATTTCTTTTCTTAAAAACAATAAAAACACCATCAGTTTCAGTGGCGTAGCCAGGATCGTCTCAAGGGGGGGGGGGGGGGGGGGTTCCAATTTTTACCCGGGGACAAACTTTCGATTTGCACCCCCGCCCTCAAACTTTCGATTTGCACCCCCCTCATCCTTGCAATTTATTTTTCCAACCCATTTTGGCGCCCCCTAAGGTCGGCGCCCGGAGACATATGTTTCCCCCCCCCCCCCCCCGCCCCCCCCCCCTCGCTACGCTACTGTTTTATATAGTTATACCTTCCAAGAAAAAAACATAATATATTCAGGGAATCGATTCCCCTGGAGTCACGATGTCTATGTTTCGGAATCGATTATTGAGGGAATAATACTACCAAGGAGTATATTATTATGCTACGAGCCGACCCGCGGCATATCATACGCCGCTATTTAGTTGTTGTTTTTAGCGCAATTTCCATTCTGGAGAATTGCGTTTATTAACCCGTCATTTCTGAATGTATGAATGTATGAATGAATGGATGGATGGATGGATGGATGGATGGATGAATGGATGGATGGATGGATGGATGTGTGTCCGCAGCTTTAAGTCGTATCTCCTCCTCAACGAAGCAATATCGATGACTAGTTCCAAAAGCAATTATGTTAAGCAAGTTACGAGGATGAACATAGGCCATAAAAATTACGGGTTTCTTTCATGGATTTCCCGGAAAAGCCAAAAAACCTCGGAAAAAAGCAGTTTTTGGCCCATATCTCGGCAACCAGACCACTTAGCGACTTGAAACATGTACCAATCAATTCCTGCCATAATTTAGAACAATATTGCCGAAGAAAGTTTTCAAAAATATCCTTTCGTTCGGTCACAATTTTTTTTTTGAATTAATTAAAATTTGGACCGAATTAGTAGGCATTTTATGCAACCACACCACACGCGTCATCACTTTCAATAGCTGCGCCATCACGTTCAATGGCTGCGACGTCACGTTCGGTAGCTGGGCGCGCAATGGTTTTTAGTCATGTTACTCTATTGTAAATAAAACATGTAAAATACTGAAAAAAAAATTAATAAAAAACGTTATAATATCTAACCAATGGTTTTACTAACCCTGCTCTTGATTTACGCTACGACAGAGCTATTTTTAGATAAAACAAGGAAATTGCGCTAAAATTGTCACTAGACTTTTTTTAATTACTTGTTTCTACTTTTCAGTTATTCATAATTTGTGAATTTGACACTACCAACGCTGCCACTGAAAATATCTCTTTAAAACACTATAAGTAGCTCGTTAAGGACGATAACCCCCCCCCCCCCCTCCCCCCACACTCCGTTAAAGTAAACTCCACTTAGCTACCCCCACCCCCTACGTTTAAAATCGTTTCAAACTAAATTATCTGCCTCTAATAGTCGTCACTAAATCCGGATCTGCTTGTAAACATTTAGAGTGAACCACAGCTCACCAGACCATGTAGGGGTGGGGGTAGTAGGGAGCGCGTTTACAGCTTGTTTTCTAGCGTCTCCCAGAAGAGAATTATATATACGAGCCGACCCGCTGCGTATCATACGCCGCTATTTAGTTGTTTTTTTTTTACTTTTCAGTAATTTATAATTTGTGAATTCGACAGTACCAATGCTGCCACTAAAAATATTTGCTTAAAAACACTAAACCCCCCTCCCCCCCCACGTGAAAGCAGCCTCCTCTTAGTTACCTCCTCTAAGTTTAAAATCGTTTCAAACTAAATTATCTGCCCCTAATAGTGTCACCAAACCCGTCTCTGTGATTGTAAAATGTAAACAGCGTGAACACCGCTCACCAGATCATGTGGGGGTGGGGTGGGGGTGGTAGTGATATTGATAGAGAGGAAGAGAGGGGACTGCAAAGGCGCGCTTGCAGCTTGTTTTCTAACTGATCCCAGAAGAGAATTATATATATAGATAGATAGCTATATTGTGCTTTCTACAATACGAAACAAGAAAAAAATAAAAAAATAAATTAATTAATAAAAAAAATAATTTAAAACAAAATAAAATAAATAAACTTAATAAACCTTCCATCTGCGACTTACTTGTTTTATTTTATATGAATATGATCGTAACTAGATGTATAATTTGTATCGTAGAAGTTGGAGACATGCATCATAGTTTAACTACTAAGGGAAACAACAATTAAAATAAAAAAATTATTTAACTTGGGTGAATGTTCTTTTTAGGGAGATTGACATATGTTTTATTTATGTTTAAACCATTTCTCTGTGGCTTAATTTAAGCACTGTTCTTTCTTACTTTATTAATATCATCATCCCAGAGGCGTAGCGAGGGGGGGGGGGGACATATGTCACCGGGCGCCGACCTTAGGGGGGGGGGCGCCAAATTGAAAGTTTGACGGGGGTGCAAATGAAAAGTTCGAGGGGGGGGGGCGCCGGGAAGGGTCGCTACGCCTCTGCATCATCCTCATCTTTTACCCGTTCGTGCCCAAGACACATGGGGCTGATGAAGTAGAGTGAATCTCTTTCAGAGTCCTCGGCATATGAAGATGCCCACCCGCTACTGCTTTCCATAACGTGAGTTAGTTACTCATTGAGTTGGGTGTACTAAAGGACGTTCTACTTTCTTGAACTCGGATTCGAACTCGAGTTGTCGAGTCGGTTAAGCTCATGTTTGCTAAACCGTAAAGTCTCGTGTTCGAACCCTGCTGCCTTGTAGTTTTTTCTTATTTGGAAAAACAGGCTGAAAGAAAGAAGAAATAAGACTACGTCGAAGGAACAACTCCAATTACAAATCTTGCAGCATTCTTATACAGAAATGATTGCAATGTTTATAATTAAAATGTGTGCTAATATGTAAGGGCAGATAATTAGGCCTTCCAGATCTAAAGTACCATAGGGCTAGAATCCGAATATGCTGTCATACATAATGCTATTCT